GTTTCCCCGCTGCAGCTTTCAGGCGTTTTCGTGCATTGCACCCGCAGCGCAAGTGAAACAATGTTCAACACTTCAAGTGATCGGACCCATGCACCTTTCCGTTCCCTCACCTTCCTTCCCAACGTGGCAATTGAGTCTAACTGAAAACCAAGTTCGAAGTGTGGACCGCTCAGTCTTCCCACTCGGGTACTGGGTGTGACCCTCCGAAAGGAGGCGCCGAAATCATACTGGAAATCACCGACCTTCAATTTTATAATTTTATAACTGCCTTTCCGTTTGTTCAACTTTATCCCTGAAAAACTGATTTTCGAGCCGCCGGGCTATAAGCGACGGAATTTCTACCCAAATTTCTGAAATCCATTCGTGTTATGCATTGCTAATTTCTTCAATTTTAATTTTTCAACCGCAGCCGTTTAGCCAACGATCAGCTTACGCATGCTCAGCACTGCAGATCTCAGGGATTGCATTGCATGCCAAGACATACACTTTTCCACCCCACAACGCCACCGCTGCGGCTGAAGCCCTGGTCCACCTGTACGCCCAAAAAGGGCACGACCTGCACGCGCGCAGGCGGTTTTTGAGAAAAAGGTCCGTTTTCTTCACCGCTTGGACTGTGCGCCGATAACGGCGTGTTGTGTGTGTCACACCCTGGTTCTAAGGGTTTTCCACGTTCTCACCTTTCCACTGAAACAGAGGCAGGGGGATCACCCACGGACTTGACTGGTGATCCAACGAAGAGGGTCAAGCTCCGTGCTGATATCTGGCCTGATCAGCCAGACGTACCTGCTCGTTCTTCACAAGCTGTTACTCCACTTTTCTATTTTTGATTCATTGTCCTTCATGCTACTTTCCCCATAAACCGGTTTCCCCGCTGCAGCTTTCAGGCGTTTTCGTGCATTGCACCCGCAGAGCAAGTGAAACAATGTTCAACACTTCAAGTGATCGGACCCATGCACCTTTCCGTTCCCTCACCTTCCTTCCCAACGTGGCAATTGAGTCTAACTGAAAACCAAGTTCGAAGTGTGTGTGCTCTAGAGTGCGGAAGTTGCTTATTATAGCTTATCATTCACCCTTCTTGTTCTACTTCACACAGTTTGGGGTTCTCTTGCCACGATAATTGTCTAACTCCTATGTTGTCTGAGCATGCTGACGAGATTGTGAGCCATCAGCACTTGCAGGGGGCACTTCTTTGCTGGGTCGAATATCCCGCAGCTTGAAGACCTGCCAGGATTCAAACGCATCAACCGCAGCAAACAGCTTGAGCCGCAGCGAACGAGCACTCTTCGGTGTCCTCAAGAATGATGTCTAACTGGAAAGCCTTCAACTTCCTGCACTAAAGAGAAAGGAAGGAAGAAGGAAAAATGGTCCAAAGGACTGAAGGAAAACGACTATACTACACAAAGAAAAACAATAAAGGAGAGAGAGGGAGATAGTGGGCGTGGAGTAAAGTCCAAGGGCCAGGCATGCCAAAGGCGAGCGGAAGGGGTACAGTAGGACAGTGGAACTGCAAAGACGTATGTACACATATATCCTGAGTCTGTGTATAACTCTGCATTATATGCGATCTCTTTCTTTTTTGTATGTTTGTTCTCGTGTCTTTCTGCACACCGGTGGGCCTATCTTGGTCTCTTTCCTCTTTCATTGTGTCAAATGTAGAAATGCAGAGATAAGAAGAGTCTTAAATTGTTCTATGGCCTTGCCCGGTCTGTGAGGCCGCTCCACAAAAACGCCCGTCGACTTTCCTCGAATCGCATCAGGTTCCTTGGCTCAAGGAGATGCTTTCGGTCAAAGCATGAAGCTAAGCCGTGCTCCTACTGAACAAGTCGAATGATACACATGCTGCTTGGCACAATGGTACCATTTGTAAGCATCACTATCATCAAGGCATGAATGCTCAGTCAACAGCACAGTGAAATACTGGAGCATGGAGTGGCCAGTTGGCTGCTCACAGCCGCAGGAAAAGGTGTGAAGGGCTCTATAGGCTCTATATATATATGTAAAAGGATTCTGTTGCTTTGGCTCTGACTCAGATTGGCCAAGCATCGGCCATGGCAAGCGTCTGAACTCTACCGCGGAAAATTATCCCTACTGAATTGTGAAGCATTGTGAAGCTATCTGCCATTCTATGTTAGAAAAAGGATCCTCCGCATGGTCGATGTAACAAAGGCATGAGACTCGAAGTTTAAGAAACACCATGCAAATGGGATGAGGGGTAGTCCCACACGTTTCTTGAACCAAATCCCGAGACAAGGGAGAAGTATCATTCAAACCAGCAGTTGTTCAGCGCAAAGACAAACCCAAGAATCGGACAGCCGCGTTTCGCCCTCTCTCTCTTCTTCCCTGTGCTACTTTTTTCTCGGTCCGCTAGTGCGCTCGATAGCTTGGGCCATTGGACTCACGCACTACATTGGTCAAACGGTCAACCTATTTGATGACCGCGGCCATGCCTGTCTGTGCAAATGATGTCATTTGGAGCGTTCTGTGCACCGGCGCAATTGTATTCCAATTGGTCCATAAGCCTCGGCTCCACTTCCACCTTTCAATGCAACATGCCAGTGCCAGCGTTTTTTGCTTCTATTCAGCCTTTTTCCTCCCCCACCCACTAGTTTCACCATGTACAGTTTGGAACTTCAAAAACCTCAGGTATCTGTTGGCTTTGCAGCATGGTCACTGGAGGAAAGACACATCTTCACCTCGGCTTGGAGCACATCGTGCTCCCGGTCAGCTCGCATGCCATGCGGCCATGCGCGACTGCACTTTCACATGCTTTCACAACGCTGTGTCTTTCTCTCTCTCTCTGCTTTATTGAGTCAAGCCTGCATGAGTGAAGTCATATGAATGAAACTGGGTTGCCTTTTGACGAGAAGTATGCAACATTCTCCGACCAAATGATTGGCTTGAACATTTGAATGACGTTCTTACCACCAGCAATGACCTCCTTCTCCATGCCCTCCACATCTATCTTAATCAATCGCAAACCATCAATGGGGGGGAGGCCCAGCAGCTCAGCTCCAGGAACTAATCCAAGCAGTTCATCCAAAGTCAGAACGGTGACCCTTTCTGGTGGCATATCCCAGTCGTACATCTGCATGGCTTCCTCAACCTTCATGTCTTGCTGCTGCTGGCGAAGCTTCACACCACCGGGCGAAGAAAAGAAGCGAAACTGGGGCGGTCGGGCCTCGAAACTCGCGCGCTCTGCGCCGAGCCCGACCGGCGGCAGCCAAACGTTGCTGAGCCCATTGATGGCCACATTGGCCGCGACGATTTGCCGCAGCCACCGGAAAGGTTCCACGGCAATGACCTTTCCAGCTGCACCAACTCGCTCGGCAAAGGGCAAGGTGTAGCATCCCAAGTTGGCGCCAACGTCAAGAACCACATCTCCAGGCTGTAGGATTGATTGCATTTCATACGACTGCAGAGGATTCATAGAACCGTGCTGTTTCATCCAGTGCCCGATGTTTGTGTCATAGAAGGGCAGAACAAATGCGTGAGGCCCACGTGCCTGGAAGAAATGCAAAGGCGTAAGCGGCTTCTGAGCAGAATCATGTGAATGTGAGTTTCAGCTGTCCATCAGTCTGCTGAAACACTGAAACCCAGAAAGAAAAGACACAGGAAACTGAAGCGGCTATGTAAGCTTGTGCCAGAACCAGGAAGTGTGATTTACTTTGATCTACTTGATTGCTTGTGTGGACATCCGCCCCAGTGGTCGGCTCAACTAGGAAGATGGCGCGAAGGATGGCCCAGTGCGACCACTCCCAGCGCCCAGAACCGGTTTTCTGTTATCTCTTCCGGATGTACTGTAATTCCTTGCTTTCTGTCCATGGCTGCAAAGCCCAGAAGCGGCACAAGCTCAAAGCATAGCAACAAACCGCATCAACCACTCACAGACCAAACTGCGACGGCCTTGCTAATTGAATCATTGAATGCCATGTGAACCACCGCTAGGATCAAACCAGGGCGACAAATAAGCCATGTCCCGAATGCCCAAGAGTCAAACCGCAAAGCCCAAGCCCGGCCGGACCGGCCCGGATCGCCCGCATAACTCGGGCCTTGCTTCGGCGGTGTTCCTCCCATGAGCCGGAACCAATGGTTCCGTGCAGTTGCTCCGTCACGCCTGGACTTCCGATCGAAAAGGTGGACCGATCTTCGCTCGGAGTCTACACCAAATTTAAACTCTAATACTAATTCTTGTTTCTAATAGCTTCTTGTTACTAGTAAGGCCAGGAGCCCCTAGTAGCTTCATTGCTCCGTTCGTAGCGATGCCCTTTGCTCCTTTGCCATCCTTTGCCTGGTCGTTGGAGTGCTTCCAAAGCAGCCGCCGCTAGGTGTGTCGCTGGCCGCTGCTGTCGCGGGCTAGAGGCTAGCATCTCTTGCTCAACTTCCTTGCAGAACAAACTCCTAACTCCTTTGCTTCGCACCAGGAACACAAAAGACTTACGCAGGCGTTTCAACATCTTACCGTCCAAAATCTGCATGTTTCCTGGGACTTCTTCCATCCGCCAGTCCTTCGGAAGCGCTATGGGTGGATCCCAGAAGTTGGTCACCAAGAAGGTGGGCCAGTGCTGTCCAACCACGTGAAGGCCACGAGGGCCCTCCGCATCCCACACAATGGAGCCGCACCTTGGGGCGAAAGGCGAGAGGTCAACTCTGAAAAAAGAACCTACGAAGACTCTCCCTGGAACTAACCTGGAAGTGATAAAGGAATTGCTTGTTTGGAACATGGTATTCCTTGTTTCGCTGTGTTCCACTTTCACCTTGGTTCCAACGAGTGTACTTCACAGTTCTGGCACTCCGGTTCGAGTGCTTTGTGACGGTCCATCGTGGTTCATCAACAAATCTGAGCTCTTCAGCGAACGCGAGGAGCTCAGACCTCGCGTGCTGCTGGGGGCCAACCGCTCGCACCGGGACTGGTCCGCGCGCCGTGAGGTCAGCTCACGGGCTCGCCCCCGACTCAAGCTGAGGCGCGCGGAGTACTTTTGCATGACAGCGGGCTCGTGAAACGGTACGCTTTGATCGGCTCCTGGGCTTGGCGGAAAGAGTCACCGTCATGACCGGCATGGTCATCTGCCATCTGCAAAGGAAAAACACGGGTGAGGAGAGGTGGTGAAACACCATGTGCATCAAGTTGTCGTCTATGCATCTATAATGGCTAGAACTCTGCGTTAAGCATTGTGAGTTTCCAGGCCGTGAGTGCATGATTATAAAGATGGTGTTTATGGAAACACTATTCTAACTGTATATTGTATAACTGTAAATAACTGTAATGTCTTGGATTGAATGCTGGTTTCCACGAAGATTGAGGTCCGTGTCTTCGATGGTGTGCGCCTTTTGTGTGTGTGTGTGTCGCCCTCTGTCCCTAGGAGTCTTTCCCAGCTTTTCTGTGTTCTTTCCAGACAACGCAGGGGCATCCCCCTCCCCAGCGGATGGCCCTCGAAGAGGCCACGTACCTGCTGAACTGTTGCACAAGCTGTTCTCCTTTCGGTTTGCTTCTCATAGTGGTTCTCAGCCCTAAACCTTCCCCTTTTTATCTGCTAAGTATTCAGTAAAGTGCTAGCGCGTCAACATTGTTCAACCTTTCAGTTAGGCCGACTTTGCGCCTTTCCCTTCCCTCATCGCCATTTCACTGTGGATGATGGAAACTGCAAACCCTGTGGCTAAGTGTGTGTGTGTGTGTCGCTGTGTCTTCCCACTGGGTACACAGTGTGATCCTCTCGTAAGAGGTGCTCCGAAGCCACCATGAATCACAAAGTGGTTCAGCGTCTTGAGTTCGTGACACTTGTGGTCTACCCGGGCGGTCTAAGACAAAAGTCCCGCTCCCTAACTATTGCACGCAATTAGCGGCTGCTAAGTATTTCTCTCTTACGCTTTCTTCGTTTTCTAGGTTTTCTTTCAGGCTCGTTAGGCGGTTCTTGAGGCTCGTTTCCCTGCCCCTCGGGTTTTGTTTAGTTCTTTCTCTCTTGCCTGTTCGTTTCTCTTTCTAGGTTTGCCTCTCTGCTAGAGGCTTTTTAGGTTTGTAATGAGGTTCTTTTTCTTTGTCAGTCAAGGGCTCAGTAATCAAGTACTAAGTAGTCACTTTTTCGCTGCTCCTATCTTTCTTTCTTTCCCTTTCCGTTTTGCTCTTTCCGTCTTTCTTTCTTTCTTTTCTAAGGCTTTTTAGGTACCTAGTCAGGTTCATTGCCAAACGGCACTTCACAGCAGAGCGCGAACGCTTTTTGAACAAAAATGTTTTGCTGCCAGCGCCGAAAATCGACGGGTTGTGTGCGCCACCCTCCGTCTGTAGGAATCTTTCCCAATTTTTCTGTATTCTTTCTCAGACAACGCAGGGGGGGGGGCTGCAAAGGTACCTGCTGAACTGTTGCACAAGCTGTTCTCCTTTCGGTTTGCTTCTCATGGTGGTTCTCAGCCCTAAACCTTCCCCTTTTTATCTGCTAAGCTAAGTATTCAGTAAAGCGCTAACGCGTCAACATTGTTCAACATTTCAGTTAAGCCCTAAGTGTGTGTGGGGTATCTTTAAGGGTACGGTAACCATGCGCGGCTGCAAAATTTAAGGTATGTGGCCGTTTGTTCATGGGTAATGTGGTTTAGTGAGCGGTTTTGCTTCCTGTGGCACTCTTTGATTTTAGATATTGAGGGCAAGAGCGCAGTCGACCCCCTTGCGTTCACAATGAGGCTCCATTGGCGCTGAGCAAGAATTCCCTGCAGCTCTCGACAGTCAAGTTGTCCTTGTCCCACGGCATGCCACGGCTCTCAAAACAAACTGAATAGAACCCAGTCTGGAAACTCCCTCGGACAATAGCAGGACAGTCAACACACGCCAACAACATAAGTCCAAATAGCGAGACCAGTAGTGTCGTTGTTGCTCCATCCAAGCTCTTCCCGGCCTCCAGGGCAGCGTCTATCACGAGACACCGGAGCTACTCTTAAGATCTTTGGGACTTTTTATATGTTGTATATACATATATATATATATATAGACATGTGTGTGTGTCTTGGATTGCCCTTACAGCTAGGAATTTAACCAAGTTTAACCTATGTAAAACGCAACTCAAATTTCCAAACATGTCGCACAAATGGCTTTCCCACAGACAGACACAGGCTTTGAATCTGAAGCATGAAGACTTGTTTGAACAACGCTGCGGCCACTAGTCCAGGCCTGGGAGAATCTCTGCGTGCCACCCCTCGCGCTGATCCCAGCGCCGGGGCGCACGGGAGATCAGGTAGCAGCCATCACAGCCATCCCCCAAAGGAGCACAGACCTCAACAGGTGACGCAAACGGACACGAAGGAGCGCCGAAGCCCCAAGATCCGAATGATAAGGGGAAATGCAAGGCTGCAAGACCAAGCGCAACACGTGTCCTTTTTCAAATTGTGTGTGCGCAATGCTGCGTACATGATCAGTGGGGTCACTTGCCGGGCATTCCACAGAGAAATGGTGTCTATAGACGGTTAGTTATACCAGCATAGACAAGCAGTTTCAAAACGATTCGTTTGAACCAATATTAGTCAAAAAACGATTTCTTGGTGCGCCCTACCTTCCCCCCAAGAGCAAACTGCTTCATCAATGATTTTTGTCGGCATCGACATCGCTATTCGGCCACACTCCTCTCCAGTAAACCGGACCACAGAGCCCAGCCACAGAGTTCAGGGGCGCGGCCAAGACCAAGGACAAGAGGAGGACAAGGCCCGGACACAGAGCCCAGCCACAGAGTTCAGGGGCCGTGGCCAGTGAGTGTGGCCAGCTCTTTTTTTAAGATAGAACCCCAACCGTAAACTGTTTGGGGAATAAACTTTCTGTAAAACGACTGGCCAGGGTGTTTCTATCAACGGCCAAGTTGTATACAGGTCTAGTTCAAGATCACTGGAGAGATGGACCACGGCAGCCTCTATTTTAAAGGATAATAACTATCTCTAGAAAATGCCATGCCAAATCTACTTCACGATGAACTACCCGAGCTCTCAGCTACACACCTTCCTATCTTTTCTAGAGTCCTTTCCCGTTTCTGGGTCTCTGTCTCTGCCATCTTTTTCTTCAATGGGGAGAGAACGAGCGGCAGCTCTCCGGGAAACGGCCGCTCCCGGGAAGATTCGGAAAGGAACAAGGGAGGTTCGACAGAAAAAAACATCTGCCTGCCCTTTCTACGTACCTAGAGTGGTCTTCTTTCAAAATTCCAAATACAGCAAACTAGAGGTGTTCGATCAACGCCTTTCTTTGTTGTTTCTTTTGGGCTATTAAAAAGCCTTCTCCTGAAAATTCAATTAAATTGGAGGTGATTGAGGACATGCAAGGAGTTTGAGAAACTTAAGGAAACTGTATTTCAAGAATAAATCACAGAAAAGACTAAGTATAGTATATTCTAGTTCCTTTCTCTTCTCTGTTTTTTAATTATTTCCTTCTTTTCCTTCCAGCTTGGAAAAGGCTGAAACAGTCGAGCCAGGTTTGGGGTACAACTCTGAAAAGAAAAACCACAAAAACACTGACTGATGGTGCGAGCGCTGCGACACATGTCAACACCTATTCTCTATAAAATGTTCTGCCAGATCCACATGCTCTCACAGCATTGATTCTTCAAACCAAATCTCTAGCACCATGTATACAAAGTGCATGTTGCAGCGCCCTACTCTCTATACAATGTTTGTTTTTGTGTGCGTGTGTGCGTGCGCGTGTGCGTGTGTGTCTCAAACATGGCTACAACAAAACCACGCCGGTGCCTTTGGATTCTCAATCACAGTCCGAAATGCGCGCCTCCCAGGCTGCGCAGCCCTCGTTTTGTTTGCATTGCTCACGGCACTCCATAGGAGATCTTGGCTCTGGTTTTTGGAGGAGGTACGCCTGGGCATCGCAACTCGCAACGGCTCGACCCCATTCAGCGACGCGGTCGGAGATCCACAAGCAAAAGACTCCTCAAAATGGTTTTATGCGTCAGAAAGACAGTACACAAAGAAAAAGACTCCTCTACATCAGGTTCCAGGCAAAACAGATGTTTGCTCATGTCGCCATTTGTAAACCGCCAACGAAACCTTAAACATATCATACATTCACCATACACCATCCAAAACGTTCTGGAACGCATGCCCAGCTGCAGCAATGTCAGCATAGTGGAAAGCTTGGTGCAGGGTTGGGTCCCCGCTGGGGTTTGCAAAGGTCGTCGGGTCTCCTCCCTGGAGAGGACCGTTCTGGTGGTTCGGCGGGTTCAGTGGCATCCCCAAGCCCAGGCCACTTCCAAGACCTGATGGGTGAGGTAAGCTGCCTCTCGACCAGTCATGTAGGCTTTTGATTATGTTTCACCCCCCACATTGAGAGGTGCTGCAATCCAAATGGGGAGGGCATTGTGGCTCAGGCCTTCATGCCATGTCTGTCACTTCCCTTTTGGGGAGTGCGAACTGAGCCATGACACAATCCGTCGATATGCCACAGCCATGAGATGATCATAGTAAAGACCAACCTTGGAATGTGTTCGACTCATTTAGTGATGACACCCGCCAAGTTTCCAGAAGCCTGTCAAGAGATGAGCAAGGCATGTTTCCTCAAGGAACTTCTCTTGGAGTTCCTTTTTGCTTTGTCGAGGTGTTGGGCTTGGAAATAGACCCACTAGACTCTCAAAGGGCCTACGGAGGTTCCCAACTCGGGCATTTTTACCGAAAATTGCGCTCAGAAAGTCGTGCTTGATGGCGAATTTGTTTGAAGACTCTTTTGAAGTCCCATGTGGCCAAAAGGCACTTACATATCGACATCGGCCTGAGCCAATGACTCGTCACTTTGATATTTCAAATTTTGTCATAGTGAAAAGCGCAGTGGCGAGTTCTCATGAGTTGGTGATCCTGCCTTCTCGTCTTTTTCCTTCACTGCATACGACCCGATCGCTGCGCGACGCTGAGGTGTACAGACTTTCTCTTTGTAAGCTTCCCATAGCGGCCGTCTGGTAGCAGTTCGTTTAGTCTTGAATGGGTAGGATCTCACTTAATTACTTTCTTCTCAGTCATCTCAGAAGGGATCCAATTCAGTGTCCACACTGTGGAGCCTTTTGCAATTGCCATTGTCCCACAGTGTACATGCCAAACACACCTGTACCTGTCACATTAGGTGACAAGGGGCGGTTGTGGGCGCGTCGAACCGCAAGTCCGTGCATCCAAATGGGGAGGCTTTATTAATCAAGAGTCTACATTAACATTCATTAGATTTTGTTATGCCATGCCATGCGGCCACTTCCAGCATATCATTTCCAGCCTGCCCCCGCAAGAGCTGTAGGGCCAGCAAGCCCACCAGGTGGCCAACCGGTGCCTTGGCTTCAAGCAACAGTGGCACGGAACTGAACCAAGTAAGCAAGCAAGGTTTGATCAGGTAAGTAAGCAACCAAGGGTCCGCCAAAACTGCCACCAAGCCCAGACGGCGGTTGCATGCCCGGTTGCATGCCCGGTTGCATGCCTGGCGTCCCCAAGCCGCCCCCACCCAAATTACCAGAGGGCGCGCCAAAGCCACCAAATTGGCCTTGGTTTCCAAGGCCTGGCCAGCGGGGATTCCGATTTGGGCCCAAGCCACTTGGAAAGTTGAAACTCCAGTAGGTTGATTTCTATACATCCCGCAATTTCTGGCAATGCATTTCCTCATGACAAGGCACACTCTCTCTCAAGGTCGCGGTTTGAATCTAGCTCTGGCCAAAAACCATGTATCGTGCCACCACTACAAGCACAACCGCCAACAACACCAGCACCAAAGCGATTGAAAAATCTTGGATAATCACCGGATGCTCCTTGACCACCAAAGCCGCTAGGTAGCTGGCCGCCAACACCTACTAGTAGCACAGCAATTGCATTAATATGATTTCCGCCGCCCATTTCATGCCTTCATGTCCATGTCATTCCTACAATTTACAGTACTACTGCGGCGTCTGAATGCGTTTTTGGTGTTCTATCTTGGCCTTGAACATGGGCATGAGCATGCACACATAAGGCGCTTCTATCATCAAAGGTCCATGCCTCCAACCGGAAGTTGTCCCAGAACAGGTTGAAAGCATAGCCTGGGTTCTGCTGATCAAAAGAACAGCGTCCAAGCCACGTCCGATGTGCTGATTTCTGACAGTGTCCGCCAGCATCTGTCTGTCTGAGCGGCCAAAGCAATACCACCCGACCTTGCGGGGGCCAGCAATGTGTGAGTGTGGGTCAAAAACTGCTGAAACTGTGCAATCTGTATATCACCTTAAAGGGGTGTGGATCGGGCAACTCCAGCCAACCCGCGCCAGCTTACAGTATGCCGTTTGTTGGGAAACTACATTCGGCATGTCTTCCACATCTCTCTCAACCTGGATTGCTGTTTCAAACAGCAATTGTCGCCACCCGACTGTGACATGAAAGCTTGGAGTGCTGGGAGTGCGGGAGGATCTGACGTTCTATCATCCACACAGAGACCGTGGTCAAATGCATCGGTCTTTCTAGAAATTGCGGGTTTTGCGTATCAATATATAACATGCTACTATACATGTATATACTTCTATGTGTGCTGTGAGTGTGTGGGCGTCCTTGTGCAAAAATTGCCCAATGCGAGAAATCAGCACAATGTGAACCACATCACGGTTAAAAGTTTGCACCTCTTGACTCTCTCATACACATACCAGGTCTAAACTTCAGATTGCAATGACAATTGCATTCGCCGGGCTTAATGTCCTTGAGTATATAACTTGTAGTATCTTCTCGCAGCATGAGAGCAGGTATATAATTAAATATATAATACAATTTAGTTTAGTTGCAATTTCTGGACATATCTCCGCCCCCTGCATTGGAGCCAGGACAATAGAATAGCAGGCACCAACATAGTCAGGTCTGTATGCTGGGCTTTGCCCACAAGCTTTGGGGAAGTTCTGTTCTAGGCCAGAAGGCTGTGCAGCATGGTCGTCTGTGTTTAAAAGAATGGACATCTGATCCAATCCTGGAAACTGTCACAAATACAAGCAGCGCTTGCCAAACAATTGAGGAGCCCGCCGCCTGCGGCACCGTGGCAGCCTGGCCAGCAGGCCCTTTCCATTCCGGCAGTCGTAGCGGTCAATCGGTTCAGCGGATCATAGCATCACTTCAGGTTAGCAAGGCTGTCAACTTGGCAATGCTACCAGCAGCCAATGAACTAGTTAATAGTCAGCTGTTGTAAGGACTTTTCAACCGCATGGCACGCCGCATGGCTTCTTCAACAACTCAAGAGCCTTGTGTACTGTACTTAGTTTATTCAATTCAGTTTTTGGACCAGCTTGTGTCTGTTGGCCACTCCGTTGGCTCTTCGCCTTCGCATCTCCTTGCTAATGGTCATGTGTCTGCACCGTGTTCGCGGTCATTCAACATTCAAAAACCCAAAATCTGTCTTTTTGTTGAGAACGCCGTTCACCGGGCAACCTAGCACAAGTCTGCTGTTCCAATAGTTGTCAGAGAAAGTTTCCAAAGAGAAAGTGCCGAGTTACGAACAGTTACAATTGGTGTGTGCGTGTGTTTGTCGCATCATGGGCGCGAAAGTAAGAGACGGAAGTCATGTGGCAGAACGGGAATCTGGCATTCAAGCGGGTGAGACGCGCTTCAAGAGTACTTTGTTTCGGGAGACGCAATGCCGCAAAGCTAGCCACTGTGGCTCGAGGGTTCACGTCCCGTGGCTGTCAGGAGGGCGGATCAAGCCATGCCACGGACCAAAGTCCTTTACTTGCCATTGCTCTTGTGGCTTGTAGTTTCGTCGCCATGGTTGTTGACATGCTTGGTTGAGTTTGGACTCTTGACTGGCACATCATGGTTGATGATCTTCAAGTGCATTCTCGTTCTTCAAGGGCAAAACGGAATGTGTTCAATAGCAGGACGAGATGTCAAGGGATGAGAACGAGCCCATAACCTTACAACATGGTCCGTTTTCTTGGTCTGAACTTTGTGGTTGCCTTCTTGTTTACGTTTCAGTTTCTTGCTGCATTTTGAGAAAATGGCTTCCTACCTCGTTATTGCTACAGTCACTGTCACTGTCGCATTTGACTGCGCTCTGCCCCGAAAACTTATCACCGATGCTGCGCGTGAAAGGGATGTTGAGTGATGGCATCATGGGTGTAAGGCTATGAACTGATTTGGTGTTCGGCTTGGGGACGAATATCATGTGGTTGTGTTGTGCTTGAGTTAGTGGACTACTTTTTTCAGTGATGCCTTGGATGAAAAGCGTCAAAGGGTTTTTGGCGAGAGTGCCGTTCTGCAAGTTTCCAGTACCTACGAGCCGTTCATGGGGCAAAAAAGGTGAACAGCCGATACTCCTGTTAGCCTCGCTAAAATTCGGCGCCGTGATTGGTTACGGTTTTGTTTGATGCATGTCTCCCTTTGAATCCCAACATGGGATCTGACATCCAGAGTTTCCAGTTGAGATTTCCAATTTACCTCTTGAAATCTATTTCTCTGCTGTCTTGTACAAACCTACGGCCTAACCCCCTGTACCCCAGAAAGGGCTGTGGGGCGTGACAGATAGTCCGCAAGTTATCTGTGTGGGGGACTCAACACAGTTTTATTTTATTGCAGAACGGCACTGGAGAATTCAGAACGCATTGTCAGATGAGCTGCGAAGCTGGCAAAGTGATGCAAAGTGTTTGTTGTGCAGTTTCTATGAGAAGCGGAGACCGTACGCACGCATTGTCACGGCTGTGGACGGTTGGCAGGCGAGAGTTGAGCCCGTCGAGCAGTTCTACTGGGGAACGGAATCAGAGGTTTCAAAACACCTTGTCAGTCGGGAGAATGGAGGAGGAATGTCAGTCTGTTGAGCACCAATAGTACAAAGAAGCTACTGTATAAGGGGCTCCTCGCATCGCTACTAGGAGCAAGGACGCCACTAGGGGCTCCTGGCCGTACTACTAGGAGCAAGAAGCTACTAGGGGCTATTAGAACTGAATTACAATGTAATGCAATTTTGTTTTGGGAAAAGAGACCGGAGGTTCCACTCCGCGGTTTTGGATCCGCATGGATCTGCCTACCGTGACACAGTTCGAGGGAGCAGCGGTTCGCCGCCCTTGAGTAACCAAGCAATCTGACGAAAAGGAAAAGCGGAGAAGGTCAAAGGCCACTGTCAATCACTTCCTGGGGCAGGTCTAAGCAGGTTCTTGGGGTCTCTGGTTGTGCTGGCAGCACGAGGGACAAAGGATGTGGAAGTCCATTGCGCCACGACAAAGTACATCAGCAAAGTCTAGTGTGTGTATATATTATGTATTTGTGTGTATATATCAAAATCTCAATCTAAAGATTTCTAGCTAGAGAGAAAAACATCGAAAAGTGGTAATTGCGGTTCTACCAGTTGTCACGTGGTATGATTCTACAGGTGCGTCGATTAAAAACTGCTTATGATTTGTACTTTGTATATACCAGTGGTGGCCTTAGCGCGCTACGTAGGCTTCATCACTCTACACTCTACACGTCACCAAATGACAAAACACGCACCTCACACATGACTATATGACTCTTCGTCAACATCGTGTGACTCATGGTGCGAATCCTTTGTTCCAGATCACGTGTTTTGAAACATAGTTCATATGCACAGTATAGGTCGACATCATGACCCTTCACACACTTCCTATAGTCTGTATGTTTTGAAACTGCCGCAGCATTGGCTCTTTCGGAGCTTGAGTCGGCTCCTTCCGACACATTTTCTGTGGCTGAGAGAAATACAGCTGGACCAAAATAGCGAGCACAAAGTAGCCTTTTGGGCGTTTGGTTGGAGGGCGTCCAATAATCATGAATGGCTCAAAATAAGATACTGCAAAAAAAAGTGCAGTCTGCAGTGCAGTCGACTCTTAACTCTCCAAGGCAGCTGTCTGAGAGTGCACACACATCATCACACGACATCGCTGAAGCAATGCCGTGAAATGGTGGACTAGTGCCGTTGCAGGGTGATGCCGTGAAGAATCTTCGGACCAAAAACTGCTGGTTTACCAAGAGCCTGAGACACTTTCCACAAGCATTACCCTGCTTTGAATTCGGTTGAGCATGGAGAAGCAGCTGGCAGTGGTCAGTTCTGGCCCTCACAGCCAGAAACGGTGCCAAAAAATAGCTGCTCCGAAGCAGCAAGAGCTGCCAAAAATCGTTTGCGACATCAAAGAGATCAATCTAAAAGCAATGATACTTTATTTGTGGGATATTGTGACAGTGTCGGCAAACGTGTTGCAGAAGCTGGTGATCACAGCAATCAGGAACCGCATTCTATGCGTGTTCTTGAAGCTGTTGAACAACAATCAGAGTGTTTGCACCATGTTGGGACTGTCAATTCTTGGTGCTTCTACATTCCCAACTGAGAGATTCAGTTGAACATCTTGAATTGGTGTTCCTTTACGTGCGGCATGCCATGGCTGCTTTTGTCCGTTTGCAGCCTGGCTGCCAGGTGGCTTCTGGGTGATGAAACGTGGGACTAGCGGGTCGAAGCCTTCAAGCACCAGGACTTATAGTGGTTTCAGAGTAGATTGCACTTATCCGAAGTTCGGTGGTTTCTATGAACCCCCCCATGCTTCCAGAACATCTTTTTCGGTCTGTGCCATCTACTCTGAAACCACTGTAAGGGAAAAAGACATGGTGCAAGACACGCTGCAAGCCTCAGGGTCGCCGCAGCCGAGAGTCAACTTCAGCATCGATTTCCTGACCAAAAAGCAAACTAACGGTCCATCATGAGGAAGAAACAACTTCCCATTCCTCGCGCAAGACGTGCATGAAGCACTGCGTTTGGAAGAAGCTTTTGTAGAATGCAACCTCAGCAGCGAACTGGCAAGTGGAGGGCTAGGCTAAGGCAAACATGTGAGACTTCTGATTCTAAACGGCATTCTCAGTGCTGCATTACAACTATGGCCCCTCCACTCTTGGTGGGGAGACGTGTTGGGCACTCTCAAATAATGCAGTTGTATGTTGTTGTATTTTGAGGTGTTCGAACCCCCCCCAACTCCATAATTGTTTCTGAAAGGTGGCCACTCCGACATGCTCAAGTATACATCTGACCAAAATCCTCCAAGATCACTGCTAAGGACGCTTTGGAATAGGGAAACCCCTTCCAAGCAAGTGCTTCCAACTTCGGATAACGTACGATCAATCAAACCGCAAAAGAACAAAAGCAAAGCATCAATTCTTTTGGAGGTGAAGGACCCCCAACCCCCACCCCGACGTCAAAATACATGAATATGGCAAACCAGGTCCATGTAAATTACTTTGAGGTATGACAACGTATCAAGTGCAATTTTTTGAGTGGCCATAGTTTTGTCAGAATTCCATACCCCACCCCCACCCCCACCACCACCACCACCCTCACCCCCACCACCACCACCACCACCACCCTCATCTCAAAAAGTGCCCCAAGAAAAGGAACAAACCATTTTTGGTTCATCAGGGGTGCCGTCTTACGAATTTTGACCAAGGGTCAAAATACTTCATTCAGGAGTCACGGCGGGGGGGGGTTGCAGGCTCTGCATAGAATCGATGGTTTCAATGCAGCAATCCTGCAATATGATGGTGCAGAGCTCTGGACGAAAGGACTTACTGTAGTGTAAGACTAGTGTAAGATGTGTAAGATTTTGAGAAGGCTTCAAATCTCGCAAGCTGAGTGAATATGCTCATTTGGATGTTGGACTGTTGGCCACAGTCGCCGTGTGGTGCCTTTTCAGGGCGTAAGCCGAACCGTTGCAAACCAGTCTTCTTTGGGTGTCGTGAATGTAGTGCCTTTTGAGGATTTTGCCACATCATGCACTGAGGGAAGAAAATCCTTTCAGAATCATCACAATGTTATCCCCTCTTTGCTTGGTATGTCGAAGCATGTGCTTGCTCCAGTAGGAATCTCCTTTGACGTGATGGCTTGCTGTGCTTGTGCTTTTCTTATGCAGTGTGCATGGAAATCCCGACAAGATTGTTGCAGAATCTGTATGTGGATATATTATATATATATGTGTATAATCGATTTGAGGCGAGGCAAGAAGAAAAGATTGCATTGTGAGACAGCATGCGCACCGAGCTCCAACCAAAAGCATCCTACAACACATCCCCACCTTGAGAATACATATACAAATACATATGTGTATATCATACGTGCTTACTATATTGTAAACATAATATCTAAAAAAAATCTGCACACTGGGAGCTAGGATGTCGGTTCATGAAGATCATGTGCACAATTTGGGCAGCCCTGGGACTTCAAGCGAACAAAAAATAGCGAGGAAGCACAACAAATTTGTGCTTGCTGCTGGGGTATATACCGACCCTCCAGCAGATTAACATGGAGCCCCAAAACCACTGTTTGTTTGTGAGGAACATGGTCGAAACCATCGGTGAATTCTCGGGGTCCATGTGGTCTGCCGGGTTGTAAAATCAATAAGGCTCGTCGCCATCGGCCCGTGAAATGGTGCACGTTGCGAACGCAGCTCGGCTTTGCGGTCAGCAACATGCTCTACTGCACCAAGGGTAGCGTCGTCCTCTCGCAGCCAGGCCAAGAACCTTGGATTGAACACCATCACCGACTCTAACGCAAATCAATACAATGCGCATCAATGCGCACAGTGCCAATCAGCACTGAATGTGGAACACGCAACGCAGCCACCATCACTCTGTACCTTTGTAGTACTGGGCTGTTTGGAACCTTGTACTGGTGCGTGCATGCGGTAGGCAGGTCAAACAGCCCACCAACAAAATCAGTCCAAATATGTCCAAACCACCTGTTGATGCAACAAGTCCTTGAACGTCCACTCGCTGTCCTGTCGCGCTCGCTGTCCTCTCAGGCAGGTCACCTGTCTTCTCTCTCCGCCCGCTGATAACATCTTTCACGCAGGTCCTCGGCATTCGAAAAGGTCCGAGATGAGAAGAAAAATATCCAATCAAATTGCGTTACCCATTTGCTGACTTTTGTGCATCTGAATGCTGCTGTGCCTCAGAACCAGTAGCCTGCAAGGTTCGCACAGAAACGCCAGAAAACAACGTGCAGAACAAACCTGCCTCGGCATGAACTTGACCTTAGACACATACAGTAGCAACGGTTACGCAAAGCTGACTATGCTCGCATGTCTCTGACTTCTCGTAGAAAACGACGACCGAAATGCCAAGATGCTATGAGCATATCTCTTGACTACCTTTGCAAGTTTTCCCATGGCAGCCTCAACGCTGCTCTGGACCTGCACAAAACGAGGCCCACAGAAACCCGACCCAAAGGATCCCAAAGAGCCAATGTAAACGCGGTTGCAACCTTGTGGGGGAAAAAAAAGTGATCAAAGGATATCAAAAGCATCCAAACAAATCACCAGAATGTTACACAACCATGCAGAAAAGAGAGAGAGAGAGAGAGACGCGGTGCTGTGGCAGGACGTGCATGCAGGCAAAGAAAGGACATTGGTCAATCTCTTCTCTCTCAAAATGGAATCGGAACACTTTACAACCTGTATGCCCTGTATGCGCAACATTGTGAATCCTCCAGCATCGATTAGAGTGCTGGTTTCCCGTGGCCTTCTGCACCATCTCCAAGAACCCATGTTGATTGCGCAACCCGCTTCGCGCCTCGCGCGTCGTTTTTTTGGCGCGACAGACTTGGGCGGTTGCAGTTGCGGAAAACATGGACCGCACGGACCGGTGCCTCTTTGATTTGGCTCCGCAGCTCGGTCTGCACAAAGGGCGGAAACTTCATGGTCTTTCCTCGCGAAAAAGGACGGGTTCTCTTCTCGAAGGAAAACATGCTCACCAGGTCTCACCAGGTCCTGAAAGCCCACCAGGGGTGTGAAGCTTCTCGCTAATCACAACCTGAACAAAATGACTGTTGAGTGTGGACACTGAATCTGGCAACCAAAGAAGCCAGCCAAAATTGAAACCAGTCCGCCACAACAGCATGTCATATCTAGTGATCAGTCAATCAAACAGTTGTGACTTCATGAGGATAGGTCTGATCAGAGAAACCCCCACTGGTGCTTCGTACCTACGCGCGCCCTTTATCACACTTGTGGACCACGCAGTTCGGTCGAGTGCTCCATCGAACAGCAGCTGGCGTCTGAAGGCGTTGCTATGCCCTGGCTATGCTGTCTTCTGCTCCTATACATATCATACCTTCTATTCAAATTATCAATTTCTAGCCTATTTAATCCTATTTGCAACTATAATTACTTTGGTTTAGGATTAATACACATTCCACAAGAAATAAACTGTAGGTTGCAAAAGTTTCAGTGTACGGAAAGGAGTCAGTGCTGTGCACACTGCAGTCTCAATAGGCCATTTTGTGCAAGCACTGCAGCACAAGAAAAAGTCCAACGAAAGGCATCGAAAGGTCTGAAAGCACACCAAAACAATCCCAATACAAAATTCGCAGAACTTCAGAGCACGCAGTCTTGCAAAAATATTCCTGTATGTCGCTACATGCAACGATCGAAGAGCGCAGTTGTTACTTCAAAGACTGAACTGCGACTCGCTATTGCAAACAGCTGTTGTCGCCATGCAACTGAATCCCGTCAAAAACAAATCTCCGTGCACACTGTAGTGCCAAGACATGCCAAGACCATTGCTAAAAACCATGCATTGCAAAGTGCACACGCCGGAGAGAAAGTTTGTACGAAAAAGCCAGCGGTCGTCGAGGAAAGTTGCGAGTTTACTTAACATGAGTGGACGGTAGTTATATAACACACTCACAAGAAATCACAAGAATATAATTAGCATGTGTTTTTCACTCCGTCTGTTGCATCTTCTTTGGATGGAGTGATCTGATGCGCACGAGACCAGCCCCGCTTGAAACTCCCAGGAGCCCGTTAGATTCCAGGCAAAAGGAAGGAAGAACGCACACAGCACGCGCTGATTGTACTGCAAACACGGCCAATAAGGTGCACAAGGACTATAACGTGCAAATTCAAGGTAAAACAATAGTGCAAACTGCAAACAGTGCGGAAACGATTGCATTCATAAGTGATGCTGCCAGTACAAAACAAGAAGAAGCCTCCTCGAGAAATGAGGCCACAACAAAGCATTTGCAATCAGCTAAACATGGGGTCTCACCTTTTTAAGGAGGGGCATTGGGATGTCAAAAGTCCTAAAGGGAGCTCGGACTCACAGGTCAACGAACCTGCATCACTGCCAACGGGAGCATGACAAACCATCATCCACAGCAAAGAGTAGTAAAGAATAGGACAACTGTAGCTGACTGCCGTTCTCGCATGTTGGACCGGACCAATTTGCCGCTAACCCAACGGTACAAGCAAAAAGAAACACAGGTGACAAAGAGTCGGAAGGCTGAGTCCACTAAGAGTGACGGACTGGTCATCAATTTAAAGCCTTACTACAGGGGTCTGACCTTTTCTTTTGTTCCTTTCTTGTTTGATGCTCTAATGGCTGGAGAGAAAATAAGGCCTCCATGGTCGAAAAAGCTCTAGGTGCCAGGCCCATCTATCTCGAAGGACACCTGCTACGATGTTGGATGGGAGGTGATGGACACTTTGGTAGCCTCGGTGGTCCACGTCACGAACCGCACCTGGGCATTGACTCCTGAGCTTCGGGCGCCAGAAGTGGGGAAGCATGGCAATTTCCCCAAAGGCAAAGATAAAGGGCACAGGAGCTTCCTGAAGGGCGGATAACAAATCAACATCTGTAAGTCCAAGTCATGTGTGCCATCAACAAAGAACCGAAATGTACTAAGTTGCAGTCCATGAGTGGCACGCTTTGCAATTCTTCCGGTGGCCAAGGAGCACAAACAAATAGGTGTTGCCATTTGAACGGCCACAACCTCAAACTGCTGGTGTGTGCCACTCGTTCTTGAATTTGACAAACATTTCGCCATGTGTCCACTTAGGAGGGGAAGATATGCAAGGGAGCCAGAATCCACAAGTGCCAGACATGCTCCGCAGCAAGAGAGCAACGACGGATGTTCGCTGGGCATCTCCAAAAAGAATCACCTACAACAGACTGAGAACAGCTGCCTGTGTCATGCCCTTTGGGCATGCTAAACTTTAACATCTTTAACACTGCTCAATCGGCAAATCATGACAAACCCTTTCCACGGCAGCGCACTGGCCTGCTGTTCCATAAGGACGCAAGGCAAAAGCTTCAACACAACCTGCACAATTCAAACCCATCAACTTTGATTGGAATCGCTAAATCACTACGGTCAACACCCCTTGCGACCAGCCATCCCAACCTTTTTACAGTTTCAACATGCCATCAAATATGAAGGTGTCGCCTGCCAGGGTTTTGGACCTCGCTTTGCCGCAGTGCAAGCAGCTAGTTTCATGGCTGGCACTGTAATGTCAACTCTTGATTGATTAATAAACCCCCCACATGAGCAAGGATTTCCAATTCAAATTGGGGTGTTCATTAATCAAGTAAATCAAGAGTCTACATTAAGCGGGTGGGTATGTAGGTATCCTGAAAGAACCGAGCTCGAGGACCAAATCGTGATAGAAATATAAACAGTTATATATAATAGAATGCATTGTACCCTTCCAGCTTCCCATCTAACCCCATCAAGGAGACAATCCGTACCACCGTGCACAGTCACAGAAAAGCTCGATGCCGTGCGTCTACAATCCTAATCCAAACACTGCAAGGCAGGGAACACAAAGGTCCAGTCAAATAAAGCACGACTTGAAGCTTTCAGGACGTACTCAGTGAGAACAGGTTGACTGGATTTGGTGCCATGTGGCGATGCTACATGTTGCAACATGTTGAAAGAAGAAAAAATGAATAAATGGGGTCCTTTCAAATGCATTATTCATATTCAAGCAACATGAAGGGATAGTTTCTGGCGGGATCTGCTGATGCACTTGCTAGAGTTCAGTGACGCTTCCTTATCCTTGTTTAGAGGAAGTAGCGTATCTATGCGTAGCCTTCTCTTCCTTTTTAGAACAAGGTTGCTCTGCGCAAAGCAGACCAACGTAGCTCAGCTAATTTTTGCGAAGCCAATGCGTCAAAGTCAAAGGTGTGTGGACATGTGGTCAACAATGAGCATCATGAACACGCTATTTAAAAATGCGTACATCAAATGTATCAAATGTAAGGACGCTACTAGGGGGCTCCTGGCCTTACTACTAGGAGTAAGGACGCTACTATCGACCGGGGACATCGCCACACCCAGTGACCGGGTCCCACGGTCCCACCTCCTCCAAGAGCCGATCTCCCCATCGCATCAACAAGGCCAAAAGGCCCCACCATACTTGCCACCTCTCTTGGCTCAGTCTGACGAACTCTTGTGGAGCAAACTGAGCAGGATAACCATTCTGAAAAGCTTGGTGTGTATTTCAAACAGACCGAGACCAAACATTGGTTGGGGGTCCCCCTATTGAATACACACCCATCTCAACTTCATCTCACATTCATCGCCTTGCCAACGTCCGGCTCAGCGGGCTTAAGGAGTCGTGACGTCCAAGCTGGGCGAGTTGAGACCAATCACATCCAGGAGACAAGAGCCTGGACCACTGGAAGGTCTTAGAAAAATGGTTGAAAAAGAGCAAAGGAATCGTCAAGACCGCGCTTCAAAGAAGCTAGGTCGTGGCGGGTGGAACATGGTGGAACTAGGTCACCGTTTTCCATTGCAGTAAAGCGCACCAAATTGCAGCTTGGAATCGGCCGCGGCATCCTTTGAGTCATTGCATTTAGTCCAACCACAGCATACGTGCCGATGATGTCAGAGACCTGATCTGGACACTGCCCTGATTGAAACTATTCATAATCTCGATAAGGAATGTCTGATTACAAGATCTGCGCATTCTTCACTTCACCGGCTGACAAGCCGAGCACACCTGGCCTCCACTCCTCTCGCCAGCTTTGCCATGCTGGTCTTGTTGATGCGCTCCAGAATTGCTGGAGCCTGCGGCCCCCCGGGCACTTTACCAGTCTGAACCCCCGGAGAGGGAGAAAAAAAAAACAATAAAAACAAGTGCTTTTTTCAATCGGCTAGTTTAAAGAAAAAACCATGATATTGTCGTGGACATATCATGACATATCATATCTGGCTGCCCCACCCCTAAAAAGGCACCATGCAAAACGTGCTGCCCACCTGGGTCAGATTTCGTCGAAGGATGTCCAACAAAGTGAAACTGAAGTCGAAAAAAGGGATCTTGGAGACCTCGACTGGCTCAGAAGCTTGACATGACGCGCTTAAATCTCACTCGCCCCCCCGCTACCCCAAACATGTCGGAACAAAAGGCTGACGGGTCGCCAAGCAAAGGACTCCTCCATCTGGTATGCGTTGCATCATGTCATCGCTATCGTCCTCACACAACACCCACCCTGCCATTGTCTCCCTGACAGCACCGCAGAGTCTAGTCACCGCGACCTCGACTGATCTACTCACCTCAGCTGACCTTGCCAAGCAAGTCAGGCGTTTTACGAGTTTAGTTAGTTAATAATTGTTATTTGGACAAACAGGAACATCATCATGGGGAATTTCGGTCAGCGTGGAGCAAGGCAAGCCAACCAAAAAAAATATATATAAGTACCATCGCAAGGGATAGCAAGCAAGCGAGCCGAAAAAGAAAAATGAAGAAAACACGGGCAAAAGCAAGTAAGCGCGTGAGAGCCCAGCGTAGTTCACAAGCACAGCAGGCGCAGGAGTACCAACACCACGAGAAACACAAGTGTCCCTCCTCACAGTACATGTTGAACAGGCAGAGCTCCACCGGAGAAAAAAGGAAATACGAATACGGCAAGTAACAAGACGCTAGGGCTGCTAATTACGCATGATGGGCATATCGGGACTTGTCATGCTATGACGGTCCTGATGCGCTGAACAGCGAAACACTTCTGGTTCCTGCGAAGAGGCAGGAGTCTGCGCTTGATTCATCTCCAACATTCAGACCAAGCAAGTTGCGAGCAGAGCAGGAGTTCAATGAGACAAACAACCAAAGAGCGGCCTCTTCTTCTGTGCTGCCAAGGAAGGTGCTGTGATCAGCAGGCAAATGTGGCATTTTGAAGTCTTCGCTGCACACCTCAGTTTTCGGATTGTCGTCCGATTGCGGCCCGTTTTTTTTATCTTTAATGGGATCCGAAACTTTCCGTATTTGCACCTACAACACATCCGCTTTTGAGCACCGGACTGACCATCGACTGTGTTTCTACACACTATAGTCACTAGACAAGTGCACGATGTGCATATGAGGCCCGCAACATGAGATTGGTCGGTAACCCCACGGTTCAAACATAGACATAGACAAACAGAAATCCAACAGCATCTCTGGCCTGGCCAAATGAGCTGAAAGATACAAGCCACAAGCCATGGTTGGATGGAAAGCGCTTAAAGAGCAAAAACATGCTGCACGCACGGAGTGGCAAAAACAAAGTGACATGCAAGCTGCAAGCATGTCAAGTCCACGTGGGCATAGGACCATCTGCTGAAACAGGTCAGGATCATCTGCGCACACAGCATCTGAATCATCTCCGCACACAAATGGGGTTGGGGTGGGGAGGGGGGGTGGGGATGGGGTGAAAGAGTGTGACTAAGAGTTCTAGGCACGCGGTGTCTTTTATAGCTGTATGTGACAGCATGTGTCCTTCCCTCTTGAGCCTTGAGGATGACGAAGGCAGCAAAATCACCCATGTAGAGGAAGAATCAGCGTGCCGACCCCAACTGGAAACTCTGGCCTCTTGCGTGCTGCACCGGATCAAAAGCTACACCAGCATAGACCCCAGATAGCAACTAACTCAAACGGAAGCACATCGTTTCCTCTTAGCCTAGCAAGCCTGTGAGACAACTGGGGAGACATGTAAGGAGACAAGCAGGGAGACGAGGCAGCAGCGGCACAGCAGCTGCCAACCAAAACGGCCGTCACACAGGCAGACAAGTGGGGAAACAAGTGGGGAGACAGGGTAGCAGCGGCGCAGCAGCGGCACAGCAACCACACACAGCAGCGGCAAACAAAAACGCAGCAGCCACACAGCAGCACCCAGTCATTGAGAGGTAAGAACCCTACTATAGCAGCTATCGCTATCTGGGGGACAAAGAATCGGCGCGTACAAACGATCCGGGGAACTGCGAACTCCTGTCCGTCCACGTTGCCAAAGCATTCAGACCCCGGCAGCGCAAAACGGCACAGGGTCATCAGGATGGGCTGTCCTTACTTCATGCAGAAACAGGACAAGCATGACTCATGACAAACTCAACAGAACCTTGGATGTAATGCCATGTCTTGCCCAGAGTCGGATTCATTGCTGTTGGCTGCAATGAGAAGACAAAAGCATTGCCATTGAAGCGATAGTCTGTGGGACCTGCAAAGATGTCTTCAAGCATCTTCCCAAGCCCGCTGTTGGACCAACTCTCTCAAGTGCATGAGAGTACCCAACCTATTTGTACCCGCTTCGTGTGTCACTTGAATGTACATCTTGCACTTCGCTCAGTCGCCCTGGTATCTCGTCGTCGCTCGCTGAGTCGCTCGCTTTCGTTTTGAGCGTCAGGAGTTTATTGAAAGGCCATCCCAGGTTTGAGAGGTTCAATCAAACTTTCACACTAGGAACAAGAAGCTACTAGGGGGTGGAACTGGAGACATCGCCCTCTCAAACTCCCTCTCTCGAAAACTGAGCCCCAGCGATTCGCTCGTTTCCCTGGACCCTCTGCGTTTCTCTCGTTCCAGCCTGGGCAAAACCCTCTGTCCACCAACAATTGCTCCTTGGAACTGCGGGCCAGCCAAGCGTTTGCATGGCTAGATGGCGAAATGGTTCTAGTGACTCTAGTTTCTTTTTGCGCTGGGTTTGCGGATTGTCAAGGCAAAGACCTCAGAAAGCCGTTGCTAGCATCCAATTGGCAATAGTTAGGGCCCATGAAGGTCGATACCTGATGCGCTTAAGTAGCAAAAGAGCAATTAGGACTTAAAAGTTTAAATTATAGAGTAGAGAGAGACGTAAAGCAGTTGGGGAAATGAAGAAAAGAGTAACAAGAAGAGGTCGAACGGAAAATAAAGAAAGGACGAGGAAAAGGTCTGAATAAAGGTCTACCAAAAAGGTCTAATGCAATTTTTTCAAACTAAAAATTATAGGGATGTAGAAAAGCGTGATCACGTGTCCTGGGGTCAGTTGATGAAGTACGGTTGACCGTCGACCGTCTAGGCTGGGTCAGTCCAAGAATCCAATGGACTGCCCCGCATGGCTTCCGGCCAGCACACTCGTGATTGGCTCTTCTCCAAATCTGCGCGGTGTTTGGGGGGAGTTATGCTCCTAGTAATAGTAGCGTCCTTGCTCCTAGTAGTATGGCCAGGAGCCCCTAGTAGCTTCTTGCTCCTAGTAGCGATGCCCTTTGCTCCCAGTAGCGTCCTACGCATTAATTGATTTGGTTCCTAGATGCTTAATGATTTCTAGCGAAACTTGTGTGTAGCTTTCACAGGAAGAAACTGGAGAAGCCACCAGGAAACATGCGTTTTTTGAGACAACTCAGCCTGGAATGAGTGACGCCAATCTGGTCTTTCTCCTGTTGCCCTCCTCAGCTTCAAAGGTCAAGGTTTCATTGCAAGTTCATTGGCACTTAACAAGAACTATTGTGAAAAGCTGTCAAGGCAAGCTTCCACTTTCGTTGGTTGCCTGTGCTCCTGCTGGCTGTCATGATCTATGACCTCGTGCAAAACTATCAAAGCGGGCTCTGACACTTTCATGTCCAAGATGTACTCAATGGGCCAAGTCAAGCAGCAACCGTTCCCGCTAACGCATCCCAAAACCACTTCGGAGGTCCGGGCGAAGAATGCTTCTATGATGTTCTGACCTCCCAAGATTGAGTCCGCGTGACTCTTCACGAAAGCACTACCATTGCCATTCTTAAGACAAGTCTCCTTCCACGACTTTTGCTTCTTCTGCCTCCGGGCGGCAAAATTGTCAAATTGCAAAGTCTAATTGAGAGGCACAAGGAATGAAAATCATGTCAACCTACTAGGTCGCGGAGGTCCCGGAAATGGACAGAAGAGAATCAATCAATATTGACGGAGTGGTTTGCGACGAAAACGGATCTCGGAATCTCTTAAACTTGGCAGGGACATCTCCAACACCAACCGAGCTTCTCAATCGACATGTTTGAAACCACCGTCACCGTCACCCGTGCAATTATACAGATGGTTCGGTCAAACAGCTGCCAGGAGGCAAGACCGTCTGTTGGCATAAGTCCCAGCGGACCGGTGTTTCGAATTTTCGGCCGGCCGTCGGCCGCGACGGACCTGCGGCTTCACCGACTCGGATTCCGTGTTTGGTCGGAATTCTCTCAGGGCGCGACTCACGACCTGCAACCCACCGAAACAGAAAAAAGATCCTGGCCCGGAAAGGAAGACAAATTTCCCACATTTTACCCTGCAAACAGGGGGTAGGTGTTGCTCTTTGAGCAAGGCCTGCACCTCGATGAAGTGGCTCACCTCGACCGCAACGACGCAAGCAATTTCGCTCACGTCTCACGACGAGTTCGCTAACATGCAGGCTCACGCACATGTGAGCACACTACCATTCGAATGCATATTGTAACAAAAAGATTTCAAGGGATTGCTCAACCTATTGTTATCCCTTGTTGAATTAACATGAATTAACATGTTTTTGCTCATCACACTTATGGAGCACCACGTGTGAACATAGCTCTCTCTCTCTCTCTCACACGTCTGTGTCTGTTTTAGCCGGCCAACCCTGCCTCAGGCGTTGAGAGGCGCCGCCGTATTTGCGGAGTGAAGAGGCTCAAAGCATCCTCGGCTGCTGAACTTCGAGCGGACCAGTTCGAGCAGGCCAAATTCTGTTTGCTCTGCGTCAAACCACCCACATCTTCGATGTGGACTGCTTGGGGATGGTGTGGACAAGCCATGAAAAACCGAAATTCATCACTCGTTTGAGGAAAAAGGACCATTTTCTCGGTCCAAGTCTCCATCGGACCATCAGCAGATCGTGGCCTCATTTGCGGAATCTTGGAAGGCTTGTGCCAAGACGATCAGGTGTTTGGCTTGTGCCAAGACGATGGTTTCAGAGTAGATGGCGCAATCCTCAAGGGGGTGGTTCATATGGACCCCCACGTAAAAGACATCTTTGGGTTTGCGCCATCTATGTTGGAACCACCGTAAAAGGTACCCCCAAAACAAAACAGACTCACGCCCAGCAGCTTGAAGTACTCTGGTGGCAGGGACTCAGTGGCTATCCGACCTTCAATCAGCACTCAGTTGCAAACACTGGTCCCGTAAGCAAAGCTCAGCCTCGTTGGCGAGGTTGAGCACCTCAAGCGACTTCAGCGGATGCACGACGCTGATATAGTGA